ATACATAGATTTGTGGGCACAAACCTTGCCTCAGTATGTCTAGGAAGGAGAGTTTTGGATCAACAATGATTGCAGCAGGGAATCCAGTCCTCTCAATCCCACCAAGAGTAATTCCATCTTTCACAAAGCCAACATGAGGCTCTCCTGCGTATTGAGGCTATGTGCCAGACTGAAGAGAATAGAAGACATCTGGGCTAAGGATGGGATTCAAGAGGAAGAGTGTCTGCCAAGCCAGTGGAAGGCCTGAATTATAATACATTCCTGCCAAATAAATAAAGTCAGTCTTTCCACAGTGTGAAAATGTTTGCTGAGACCAGTAGCATTCACTATAACATTTCTACAGTGTAAAAATGTTTGTTGGGCAGTTTAAACTCATGGGTTCAAATTCCATGAGACTTTATGATAGGATGTTTGCATGGGTCTTCTTGACAGGTGGATTTGGTCACAAAGATTTGGCACTAAGAACATCCTTTAGAGACAACTCTCTCCTATCTTTGTGTGTCTGTTTCTTTAAGATGTGTGTTGCCATGCCCACACTTGGGTGTTATTTCAAGGTGACTCCCTTCTCTATTGTCTAAAAGATGGTTGTGCTGTGATGCCCTTTTCTGGCTAGCCTTTGATCTTTGCTTCCTCAGTCCCCACTATGATTATCCTAGGCTACCTCCTGTCACTAGGTGAGACATATCACAACATGTGGTTCTCTGTATCTAGTGTGAGGTAGTGATATTAGAGTACATTTGCCACTTTCCCTTGAAGTTTTGGTTGCAGAAATTTCAACAGTGATGACTTGGGGACGTAATTATTCTCCAAGACAATACTTGTGCAAAAACTTAAAATTTCAAAATGGATAATCCACCCCAGCAAACAACCAGTATAAAAGTTGGAATGTCATCAGGACATCCTGGTAGAGCTTTTGTAGGTAAAACTAACAAATTTATAGATTCTGCTAAAGTCAGCCCCATGGAGATTCTGGCTTTCAAAACTGACTACTCTCTGCCTTCAGCCTTTCTTCACCGACACTTTAGTTTTCTGGCCTATGTTCTTATGGATTTCTGGTGAAGGAAGTTAGTGCATTTCTGGAGTGCCTCTTTTGCTTTGACTTCAGACACAATGTATGTCCATTCATCATGGACAATGCACTGTGGCTTGTGCATTGTGAAGGCTGGAAGTGTTGATATTAAGTTTCTTACCTTTTTTCTTCTGTTTGAGGATGTCTCCCTCTACACCCTTCTATGCAGAAATCTGCAGAAGTATGTGACTCAATTTTGGTCACAATGATGACTATGTATTACCCTCACTGCCCCTTCCCTTAAAAAAACTGAAGAGCAGCCGCTCAAAGACTATGAACACCCTGAGAGTCAGCCTGATGACACCTCTGTCCTGGAAATAAATTTTCACCATATCTTCCTCTTAAGCTCAGTATAGCACCCAGGGCAGTCTATTTTTCTTGCTGCCTTAAGATATTTGCTACCTTCACGAGTGATCTAAACTGGTCTCTAAAGTGTTTTTTGGGCAGTTTAAACCCAACAAACAACAATTCATTTATAAAAGAATATGCTTTTAAGTGTCCTTTTAATTTTTTATTGCTCTATTGGTTATCAGGATATGTTAAGTGTGAATATGATATTCAGAGAACAAAATCTAGGTCAATGTCAGATGTCATGCCTCAGTGTGCAGTTGTTTCTCTCTGTTAATCTAGTCAGAAGGGAAGGAAGGAGTCGTATGTGAGTTAAGTAAACTTAAATTGAAAATATATTCCTTCTTTTAAAGTGAATGAAAGGAAACGTAATTCATTCCTATGTCACCAAATTTACATGCAACTCATTTATGATATCAAACTGTATTTAAGAAGTTAATAATTTCAAAGAATAGCACAAGTTAGCCTTCATTTGTTCAGGTCTCCCTGACTTCTGTATGCCTTTTAAAATGTTTACACACTCAGTGTAAGAGAAGGGGCAAAGCATTACCAAAGCAAATGTGCCAAAACCTTTTAAGCCCACACTAAAAATTTATTGGAGAACCTATGTAAAAAGACAGCAACTCAGTTACAGACCAAAAATGAGAGTAGTCTCACTTTGTATTTCATTGGATAGCAAAGAGGATGGAATCACGGGTGCTGTGGTGAGACTGTCTTGGCTAAGAAGCAGGAAGTCTCCAATGAAGAGCTAATACTAACAAATACCTGTGATACAGCAGGGTCTTGCTGACCTGAAACCCTGGGACCCTCAGCCTCACCATCCAAGCCAAACTGTCCTCCAACCCAGCATCTAGGACATTTTGATGACCTGAGGAAAATTTGTTTTTTTTTTTTTTTGCATACTGGGATTTGAACTTCTGGCCCCAGGAACTAATTGTCCTGGCTGGCTCGAAACTGCAATCATCCTGATCTCTGCTTCCTGAGTACGTATGATTAACTGGGAAAAAAGGCATGTTGGACTGAAATGCATGCAGAGATTGATGAGGAGACAGAGACACTAGCACATGCTTTATTGGGAGAAGAATCCCAATCCAGCAAGAGAGCTGGAGCCCACAGCTGCTTGCAGACTAGGGATAGACATTCTCCTTATATGTCCTTTTTCTCGTGTACATGTGTGACCACATGTGCTGTTTGCTGAAGTCATTCTTCCATATTCCTCTTAGCAGTTTTTGATATTTTAATTAAGCACTTTTATTAAAGAAAACAATATGGCTACTTTGTTGTCCTATTTCTGGTGTATGCCTATCAAGGGGAAGTAGTAGTTTGTGTGCATAACTGACTGTGTTTACTCTGAGTTGTCCCAGTTCTCATGAATATTTGCAATTCTCTAATTCCAGCAACATAGTGTAAACTATGGAGCAAAATCTACTTTACAAAGTATACTAGGTAGAATAAATACCTTAGGGCATTTGAATTCAGTAGAAAAAAAGGCAATCCCCAGACCTGGCACCAACAGCTCACAACTTAATCCTAGCTGGTGAAGAGGAGCAATCAGGAGGATTATGTTTGAAGCTGGCTTGGGCAAATACTTTGAGGGACCCTATCTTAAAAATACTTAATGTACACAAAAAGGGTGCTGGGATGGCTCATATGGTACACTATCTGTGCAGCTAGCCAAAAGGCCTCAGTTCAAATCCCAGGGCTGGCAAAAAAACAAAAACAAAAAAACAAAAAACACCCCCAAAACCCCAAAAGACAAAAACTGATCCTTTTGCCTCACAATAAGGCCCAAATTTGTAGTTCCTTTAGTACAAGAAAGAGGCCCAAATGTAATTCTAACACAAAGGTTATGGATTAAAGTTTGCAGGGGTCTACACAGCAATAATCTTGAAAAAAACAATGAAATGAAAAGAAGAAAGGGCAAGAGAAAGAAGAGAATACAAAGTGACCTATAGTCTAATATTAATAAGCAATCTTGAAAAAACAATGAAATTAAAGGATGAGAGAAAGAAGAGAATACAAAATGACCTATAGTCTATTATTAATAAGCAATCTTGAAGCTATATTTTAAAATGTGCTATATTGTAATAAAGAAATTACCAAATAGATCTCTGTGGGAAACAAATTAAGTCTTCACTGGATTTCAATGTAAAGAGAAAATTGATTCTTGACAGAAGAGTTATCATACATTGGTGGCCAAAACAACAAACACTTTAAAATGAGACAAGGACAAATCCAGGTTCTACTTGAAAACATGCTTTCTATTCTCATCTATATCTTGGACAATAGGACATTTGAAATGGGAAACAGGAGAGATAAAATCTGAACACTTTCACAAGTATCATTTCACATGTTTTTCATCTCAGCATTTGGAAAACAGAGGTTGGAATATCCTAAGCTCAAAGTCAGCCTATTATACATATCCAGTTAAAGAAGTCCCTGTCTCAATATAAAATGTACAGCATTTTATATATGTTGAAAGTCACAATGAAAAAGACACACAAAGAGCTGGCAAAGTGACTGAAGTGGTAGAAAATCTGGGTAACAAGCATGAGGTCCAAATTCCAGTCCCACATAAAAGAAATACTTAACTTCAGCCAACCCTTCCAGCACTTAAGCAAGTCTATTGATGTGGCTGTCAGGCACTAGAATAAGAAGCATAAAAAATGCTTCTAGAGAAAAAATTTAGACATATATATCCCACAGATCTCTAAGAATGTATAAGCCAATTGTCAGTGGATTGGGCCTAGAATCCTAGTACTTGAGAGGGTGAGACAGGAGGATCATGGCTGGAGGTCAGCCTGTGCAAATAGTTCACAGACCCTTGCTCTGAAATAAATAGGAGAAAAAGGACTGGAGGCTTGGAGGTAGAGGTCCTTCCCTGCAAGCAATAAGCCATGAGTCAAGTTTTCTCTTCATATCATCTTTGATCATATCTCTGGAGGGAAGCAGGTGACATGGCATGCTTTTGCTAACAAAAGTTATATAAACTGGACAGTGTCATAAGTGCGAGAATGGAGTTCCTTCAAGTTGCTAAGTTAGCAGGATATGTGAAAGCTTTCCATTATTATTTCAATACACAGAATTCCACTCCAGTGTGATATTTCACATGTATTTTTTGGTAATGAGAAGGAGAGAAGATATTCCCATACATATTGCTTCTGTAAAGTTAATAATTTGCTTGATGGTGAATGAATGAAAACAGACAGCTTCATTGTGCTTACACCTATAGATTTTCTCTCCAGTGTGAGGACTTTCATGCTTGAGGTCATGGAAATTAGTGACCACTTTCCACATTGCTTTCCTAATACAATTATTCTCCATTTTAATTTTCTGTTTTGAAGGAGCACTGGAATGTGCGAAGGCTTAGCCACCATTACACACATGTATAGCATTATGCTACAATGTGAATTGCATCATGTCAGCATCATGTCAAAGAAAACTACTGCAAAAGGTGAAGGCATTCCTACCTTATTTACATTGATAGTGTTTGAGTTCATTCAGACTGATGAAGAAGACTAGGATATATGAATGTTTTATCCTACTTGACATGACACTCATGTTTTTTTTACTCCATGAGTTCTTTCAGGTGCATGAAGGGTACTAGAACTAAGGAAAGCTTTCCACATTGCTTAAATCCACTGGGTTTCTTTTTTGCATTTTTGATGAGTATGAAGGATAATGGATAGAAGGTAGGTTGTCTCTCATTCCTTAAATTCATACAGTTTCTGTGCAGAGTGAGTTCACATTTGCTAATGTCACTGGAAATTGCTCATATCCATAGCTTTTCTCTCTAGAGTAAGTACCTTTACGTCTTTTAAGGGTAGTAGAGCATGTGAACACTTTTGCCACATTGGTTACACCCATAAGGTTTGTCTTCAGTGTGAGTTCTTTCAGGGCATCAAAGGTGACTGGAATGACTGAAGGCTTTCTCACATTGCATATATCCATAAGGTTTCACTTTCGTGTGAGTTCTTCTATGTGCTTGAAGGTGAGCACGTTGAGTGAATGCTTTCCCACACTGCTTACATACATAGGGTTTTTCTCCAGTGTGAGTTCTTTCATGAATACGAAGGGTACTGGAATCTGCATAGGCTTTTCCACATTGGTTACATGCATAGGGTTTTTCTCCAGTGTGAGTTCTTTCATGAATACGAAGGTTATTGGAATCCGCATAGGCTTTTCCACATTGCTTACATTCATAGGGTTTCTCTCCAGTATGAGTTCTTTCATGTCTCTGAAGGTGACTGGCTCGATTAAAGACTTTCCCACACTGCTTACATCCATAAGGTTTCTCTCCAGTGTGAGTTCTTTCATGTATTTGAAGGTTACTGGAATGAGTGTAGGCTTTCCCACATTGCTTACATTCATAAGCTTTTTTTCCACTGTGAGTTCTTTCATGAATATGAAGGTTACTGGCTTTAGTGAAGGCTTTCCCACATTGCTTACATTCATAGGGTTTTTCTCCACTGTGCGTTCTTTCATGTATTTGAAGGTGAATGGCTTGATTAAAGGCTTTCCCACATTGCTTACATCCATAGGGTTTTTCTCCACTGTGAGTTCTTTCATGATATCGAAGGTAACATGCATGAGTGAAGAATTTCCCACATTTCTTACATCCATAGGGTTTCTGTCCAGTGTGAGTTCTTTCATGAATTCGAAGGTAAGTAGCTTGAGTGAAAACTTTCCCACATTGCTTACATTCATACGGTTTTTCTCCACTGTGAGTTCTTTCATGTATTTGAAGGTGAATGGCTTGATTAAAGGCTTTCCCACATTGCTTAAATCCATAGGGTTTTTCTCCACTGTGAGTTCTTTCATGATATCGAAGGTAACACGCATGAGTGAAGAATTTCCCACATTTGTTACATCCATAGGGTTTCTCTCCAGTGTGAGTTCTTTCATGAGTTTGAAGGTAACTGGCTTGAGCGAAAACTTTCCCACATTGCTTACATCCATAGGGTTTTTCTCCACTGTGAGTTCTTTCATGATATAGCAGGTAGCACGCATGAGTGAAGACTTTCCCACATTTGTTACATCCATAGGGTTTCTCTCCAGTGTGAGTTCTTTCATGAATTCGAAGGTAACTGGCTCGAATAAAAACTTTCCCACATTGCTTACATCCATAGGGTTTTTCTCCACTGTGAGTTCTTTCATGATATCGAAGGTAACACGCATGAGTGAAGAATTTCCCACATTGCTTACATCCATAGGGTTTTTCTCCACTGTGAGTTCTTTCGTGATAACGAAGGTAACATGCATGAGTAAACACTTTCCCACATTGCTTACATCCATAGGGTTTTTCCCCAGTGTGAGTTCTTTCATGAATATGAAGGTTACTGGAATGAGTGTTGGCTTTCCCCCATTGTTTACATTCATAGGGTTTATCACTAATGTGAGAAGTTTCATGAATGTGAAAGGTACCAGATGGAGTAAAGGCTTTTCCACCTTGTTTCCATCCATGAGGCTTCACTACATTGTGTATCCTTTCATGGATTAGAAGAGCCTTGCCATCAGTGAAGTTTTTCCCATAAGCATCATATATATTGCTTTTACATGGTGTTGTTCTAAGCAGAGTTTCCTTAATTACAATGTTCTCTGGAGTGTGTTGAAAGGATTCTCCACGTTGAATACATTGTTTATGTTCATCCAGTCTCTCTAACACTTCACAGCTGTAAAACAAACAAAGATTACCAGTGTTATCATATTAATGATTCATTGAGAAGTTGTGGTGTTTGTTACCATAAGGATTTATGAACATAAGTGTACTACAATGTCTGCAGCAGGGCCTAAGAACATCTGTTACCAAAACACTGGTGTTCATATATGTTTGCATAATATTATTTCTATGTAGATGTTTGACAACACTGAATGAGTTTTACTACACTGAAATACACTGAAAGTGCTTATTGAGATGCCCTTGGAATCAGAAGCATGTTGGATTGTGAAATACAAGAATGAACATGAGGAGATAGGGTGAAAAACTTGCCAGTCTACGGAAGGCACAGGATATTCCCACTGTGATGGAATTTGACATAATATAGTTTAGTAAGTTTGTGCCAAGAGTGGGGTTATTTTTGTATATTGAGCAATTGGACAGTGTCTCTTCTGACTTCTTGGAACAAAACATGTTATGAATAATGGCACATGTCAGATTTTTGAATTTTCTGATTCTGGATTGTTTACTTATTTTTCCAATGTTAAAGAAAATTTCCACTGATTTCAGCAATTTAGAACTGGAAGTTGGGATCTCATTTCTTTCTTTTTCAAACTTCTTGTCATGCCACATCTGATGTTCATTGTTTTGATTATGAGTAGAAATTACCTCATATTTCTTCTGGGATTGCTGAAGTCCTCTTCAATATTTACACTTTCTTCTTTTGTTTGTGAGATATAGACAGAGAAAAATCATTAGTATTTAATCAAAATTAAAAAAAACTATTTGAGACCTCAGCTATTTTCATAGAATATGATCTTGTATGTATATGAACCATTACTGCCCTTTTTAAACACTCGACGAGGCAACAGCAATCAGCCAGAACAGTAGTGCAATTTGAATAAGGTTTGATTATGAGTAGAAATTACCTCATATTTCTTCTGGGATTGCTGAAGTCCTCTTCAATATTTACACTTTCTTCTTTTGTTTGTGAGATATAGACAGAGAAAAATCATTAGTATTTAATCAAAATTAAAAAAAAACTATTTGAGACCTCAGCTATTTTCATAGAATATGATCTTGTATGTATATGAACCATTACTGTCCCTTTTTAAACACTCGACGAGGCAACAGCAATCAGCCAGAACAGTAGTGCATATTTGAATAAGGTAATGATGCCATATTTACCTATGTAGGACAGGTTGCTGTAGGTTTCCAGCATCACTTCCATGTAGAGCTTCTTTTGGGAAGGATCCAAACAGCCCCATTCTTCTAGGGTGAAGATCACAGCAACATCCTCAAAGGTCAGGGGTTCCTAATATGTCCAACACACATTTGTGAGAAGAATTGTGAGTGTCACAGTAGTGGAAAAAGACAATCTCTGTGTAATAATTTACATGCAGATGTGGTCTCCACATATTCAATGCATTTTGTTTTTATCACACTCTCATTCTCCATCTATACTTACAGGCACTTCATGGTAATTCTGACATCTCACCAGACCTATTTCTTAAATTCAAAGCAGAACATGGTCACAAAAATAACACTTTATACACTGATATTGTAGCAATCTACTGCCAAGTTCCTTCTTATTTCCCATTACAGTAATATAAGGTGAAAACAGACTGCAGGAATAATGCTTTTAATACATGAGTGAAAGTTTCATGTCTACTGGCATTGCAGAACAGTTAATGGGATGAACCTCACCAAACCAAATATAAAGTGTAAAAATGGGAGAGTGTTCTGAAGCAATTTATTCCAATAATATCCTATTGTGTATATATACAGAAGGAGTCTGTAGTAAGAGAACCCACAATGGACTCATGGTTATGAATAGAAAGTTGGTATGACAAATAGTACTTAATATCTCTTTCCAAAAAAAATTTTTTTTTGGAATTGATCACTTCCTTTGTGCTCAAGAGAGAACATTTGGAAGCTTGGTTCTCAAGAAAGAACATTTGGAAGCTTCTACCTGATTTAGAACAGACCAGCCCAAATTTAAGGCTAAATAAGACTCATGAAGGACCAGTCAGATAAAGTTACAGTTTTTGCTTCAGCATGCAAAAACATAATATAGGCAGGAGAAATGTGGCATGTGTCCCTAGAAATAGATGGATTTTAACAAGTCATCACATCAAATTAATTGTATACAATTTTGCAATTTCTAAAGATTCACCTTTAAAAGTCATGAACAAAACTACTTTTCAAAGTATACTCAGTGTCATAAATTGCAAACAGCAATTTATGGATAAGGAATTGATCCCTTAACCCACTTATGGAGGCCTAATCTTGGAATTCCACCAGAACAATCACAGGCTAAATATTGGAGTGATCTACATAGCAAGAACCACTGTCAAAACAAGGAAGAATAATAATGAAGAAAAATGGGACAGAGCAAGGGAAAGAACACAAAGTGTGCTATTGTCTAATATTAATAAATAATGTTCAAACTACATTATCAAGGACACTATACTTTAAGAAAGAGATTAACAAATAGGCCTCAGAGGAAAGGGAACCAGTCTTCACTTGACTTTAAAGTAAGAGAAAATTGATTCATGACAGAAGACACATCATACAATGGTAGCTAAAAGCACAAAATCTGGAACTGAATTTTCTCCTTGGAAACACACATTGTATTCTTCAATGTCATGGACAATGATCCAATTGCATTGGAAATAACAAAGATAAAATCTGAATACTTTTGAAGCCATGGTGTCACATGCCTGTCTTCCCAGCATTTGCAAAACTAAGGTAGGACTAGCATATGTTCAATGTGATCCTGGGATGCATCTTCAGTTCAAGAGCTATGTATGAAGTCTGTGTGTGAAAGTAACACAAGAAGAAGAGCATTTTGAAAGTCATTACCCCAGGAACATACAAAATGAATGTGGATGTTAATATATTAGAGTGGCAAAAGACAAACAATAAGGATAAATATCTGCAATGCAAGCAAAACAACTGAATTAGTGGACTGCATACACTAATGAATGAGAACATGATTGAGAAATGTAACATAAGACATCATGTATGAATCAAGATCTATGTCCCTGATTTAGAAATTAGCTGAGTAAAATAAGTGTTCAAGATCCAAATATATAAGAAAAGTTTAATGCTTGAATTGAGTGGCAGTTGACGCAAACTCCACTGACATTTCTTTAATTCTAATTAGGAAATAAGAGTCCTGAAATTGTTCCTAACACCCACTGTACATATTATGAATGTTAATCAGAACTATTTTTCACACCCTGGAGAAGACTTCTAGAAAAGATCTCAAAATAATGACCACTGAAACAAAAGTGAAAATAGTGTAGTGCAATATCACACGTGATTGAGTTTGTGAAATACACTCAAAGACAGCATCCAGAAGGCTTTTACATGGAATAGGTCTAATACTTTTTCTAATTCCAAAAGGCCAAAAGTAAAAAAACACTGTTTAATGGATAAGATGGAAAAAGTAGGGCAAGGATTAAGGTGGTAGCCATCTACTGTAGTAATGTGTGTGCAGACACTTTTTATTCACATCTACCAGGGCATCTAGATACCTTGTGTGTATGCACGTGCAGATCTTTCCATGTATTTCAGAATTACCCTGAGATTATTTCACTGAATAGTTTCTTATGTCTTTTGTCTGTTGTTGTACATCATGTTTAAGGTCAACAATTTATATGTTTGGTCATTTAATCAAGTTTCAAAGGTCTTAAAAGTTGTGGTCATCCGTATGCCAGAAACTCACACAATAACCAAATAGTAAAAATTTTACTGAATACCCACATCTCTCAAATGCACAAAAGCATTCCAGTAGCAGAAGAATGTAAAATTGTCTCTCTGTTAGACTCTGCCTCTCAGATTTTCACAGTTTGTACAAAATAGGGTAAAGAAAATGCTTATGAAGCAAATATTTTAAAGTTTACGGTTCTTCCTCCAGTCATGCTCACTGTTAACCACCCTGAATCATCAGAAAAGCCCTCTTTATTGTCAACCACAGAAAAGAATTATCACAGGGAATAATTTACCAGCACTGAAAGTTGATTTAGCCACCTCTCATCATCAGTTATCTCCCAAGTTCTTCCCCTTTCTTGGAAACCAAAGATCTTTTCTGTCTAGCAGTTGGGCCATCTGCATTCCTTAATTTTGGGACTACCCACATAATGCAATAATTCCATAAAACCTTCACAGGTGAAGAGCACACTCAGTACTGAAAAGGAGGCATGCAAGGCATAAGTTTCTATTGATCATCACAGAAACATGAGGATATAACTCTGGGAGCCCATGATGTCCTTTTACTCCCATCTCCTAGTGAGAAAACTCTAGACTTCTACACTTATATTTCTCATACAGAACATCACAGTTCAGTCACTTGTAGTTTCTACTAACATAAAAAATGTCAAATGCAAAAACTCAGTCTCTATGAGACTACCAAAATGTAGCTATCTTTGACTCTGACCCTCACAGATATTCTTCATGTGTTCACAGAGAAGTGTAAATCCAGAATAACTAGACACATCAAAGTCAAAAACTGAAGAGAAAATGGCCCCATGATAGCCACAGTTATACGTTTAGAAAGAAAAGAACACCCACCAGCATTTACCTGTGCTCACCTGACTTCAAGTACTATGTAGCTTCACAAAGGCAACACACCTTCTCAGAGAAAACCAGACTCTGTTCAGTTTTATAGTTGTACATTACTCTTTGGGAAAAATTCATTGTATTCATAAAAATATTTTTATTTGTTATTAATGAATTCTGTAACACTTGCATACAGTTGGTTGATGAGCATGCTGAGTTATCCATCATTTTCTGTATTTTTCTCCTTTTTTATTTTTTGGTTGGACAAGGCTTTGAATTTAGGGCCCTTTGTTTGCAAAGGAGATTCTCAGCTGCTTGAGCTACACTTCTAGTCTTTTTGTTCTGGTTATTTTTGGAGATGGGAGCTCATGAAATACTTGCACTTCACCAAAAATATTGAAATATGAAAATAAGTGAATCCTTGAGAAAAGAAATGAATAGCTTGGTGGTAGGAAAATTTCTGAGCATGAGCAAGGCCATAGGTTCTGTCCCAAGCACTGGAAAAAACTAAACAAAATGATAGAAACAAAAAAGAAATAACAAAAGACATTCAAGTGTTAATTAAAACTATAAAAGTAGGATTACCTGTATTATTTTTATTGGTTTCTTCCTAGTGTTATCTTCCTACTTCAAACCAACTAATCCACAACTTTCCAAAAATGGCTATTTCAATTTCCAAAGTAAAAGATTATAATACACAAAACAAAGGGAAGAATTTGTTGGACCCTGGTGGCTCACACAAGCATCCTAACTACTTGGGAGCCTGAAAGCAGTAGGATCATGGTTTGAGGTCACCCTGTTCATCTGGGATGGTACCATGTATCACCCCACTAGCATATATTCAGAAAGCACATAAGGGGCAAAGGATAACAACCAAAGTTGTTCCTATTGGTCAAGATATTTTAAGACTTCTAGTAATTCTGTGCCAGAACCTGTGATGAAGAGCAAATGCAGTTTTCTAAATATATCACCCCAAAAAAATAACCTCTCAAGTGAGTAACTCCTTTCTTTCAGCTGGAGATCCTAAAGGTCTCTGACTTACCCATGATACATCACAGCTTCCACAATTGCCACAAATTACATTGTGACCAGAAAAATTCTATGAATGAAAATGCAAACAACAGAAAACTTACCCAAGCAAAGTAATATTGGTAACACTAGTAGTTAAGACCACCACCCCACCATTCTTTATATTCCCATTACATTTAGATGTCCAACAAGGGAAGCATACACTTTTGATTCTTCCATGTTCCATCTCATATTCATCATCTTACTTGATCAGCTGAAAAAGAACCCTTACTATACAAAGTATCCTAATGAAGTTCTCTGCTCTTTCCAGCCAGCCTCTGCCTCACCCTCAGCTTGAGCCACTATATCAACCTGTCCTTTATTGTCACATGAAACACAGTCTCAAGGCTAAGGATCTCTGATGCAGGATCTAATTTGGGCCCTCAGGTTCTTTTTAGTACTTTTTGCTCCTATTTACTACTCTTGAAAAAACAGACCTTCTTTGCCTTGCCTTCAGGCACCTGCACACTCTGTTGTTGGGGTTGTCCTGCCACTGAGACCCTAACATCATGCTTTGCCTCAATCTGCATTTCATTTTTGGAAAATGCTGTCTAGACACAGGCCAAAGAGAACATCAATTATGTTCATAAACCTATGATAAGTTTTCAATCTCAACTCTCCCATTTGAAACCCAACTGCAAGGGCACCACCATTGCAGTGAGCTGTGCAATGTAAATTTAG